ATCAGGATACAACACCTACTGCTCACCTTGATACTCTCAGCGGATATTCAAAACAGACTAAGAAATCTACTGCAGCCAACTCACCTGGGCACCTTAAGGCTAAACTGAGAGTGGAAAACTTAGGTTATAAAACTGCTGTCAGTAGTAGTGGGACTTCTAGTGCCAGCGTTGTTGCTGGAGCTGGGATTGGTGCAGCAGCTGTATTCATACTGATGAGAATTCTGCTGTAAACATTATGTATTCTATAAAATGGCTCTCTATAGGGGATACAACAAAGGAGTAAATAAAGGTGATCCATCAAGTGGTAGTGTGTTCGACAAAAACGGATTTACCATGAAGGGTGACATTGAGATGGACGGTAACGAGGTAAAGGGTTTGGGTGCTCCTACAGATGATACGTCTGCGGTCACAAGGAAGTGGGTAGATGATGAGATCATTAAACAAGCTGCTCTTACAATTCAACCTGCAGGGTTTACAATGACCGGGGATATTAACATGGGAGGTAATAAGGTAACTAATCTTGATAATCCTACTAATCCAGGTGACGCTGCCAGTAAGAGTTGGGTTGAAGGCAGCCGTAGACATGTACATGCAAGTCTACCTGGACTTATCCTTACAAATGATCTCAATATGTCAACCAATGAAATAAAGGCTTTGGGTGATCTTACAACTGGAAAGTCTGCTGTTAGTAAGGACTGGACTTTGTCACAGATAAGAAACCTGGACATATATTTAGCCACTCTCTATGTCCGGACTGATGGTACTCAAGCAATGACTGGCAACCTTAAATTAGGTGGAAATCAAGTTGAAAATGTTGGTGATCCAACAACTGGAAAGTCCGCAGCCAATAGGGACTGGTTAGTTAAAATGCTAAACAAACCTGTGACTGGACTGAATATTGCCGGCGACATTGATATGAATAACCATGAGATTAAGAATCTTAAGGATCCCTCCGAGAACCAGTCTGCCGTTACAAAAAAGTGGGCTGTTGATAATAACTTTGTTAATCTCGGGGGGCGTATGTTAGCCGATATATCAATGGCTGGATATAGACTTTTCGGGCTACCCGACCCAAGGATTGCTAACGAAGCTGTGTCCAAGGGCTGGGTCGAGGGTAAGTTGTCAACGTTCGATAAGACTTCTGGTTTTACAATGACAGGTAACATTGATATGGGTGGAAACAAAATTGAAAATGTTGCTGATCCAACTACCCCCCAGTCTGTTGTTACAAAAAGTTGGTTCAACTTAAATGAAGGAACATTCTTACGGTTAGATGGAACAGGATCCCTAACTGTTGCTGGTACTGTTAGTTTTAGAAATACACCTACATGTTCGCAGGGTCCAACAACCTCTAACCACCTTGTAAATCTAGCCTATCTAAATTCACTTTTAGGAAGCCTTGTAAAAATAGATGGCTCCCTCAGAATGACTGGTAACCTGCAGATGGGTGGAAATGAAATAGTGAATGTTGGAGCTCCTAGTGCTGATGGGTCTGCAGTTAATAAAAAGTGGGTGGAAGATAAGATTAGCGGTGGTAGAAGAAGACGTGAGACTTACAGTTGACTTACCCTATCTGATGACCTTGACATGAATAATAATGAAATTATAAAGTTAGGTGCTCCCACAACTGATAATTCTGCTGTGTCTAAGAAATGGGTCACGGATCATGTTAGTGGGAGTTCTATCAGTGACAGCGGCTTCACTATGAGCGGTAATATTGACATGGCTGGTAATACTATTACAGGACTAAATAGTGGGTCAAGTGGAGCTTCCAGTGCTGTTTCCTATGGATCTATGACTTCATGGTGCTCACAGTTTCTTAAACGTGGTGGTGGTGTTTTATCGGGCAATCTTGATGTTAACGATTATGAGTTAATTAGAGTTGAAAATCCTACAACTGACGGTTCAGCTGTCAATAAAAGGTGGGCAACTGATGAGTTCATGAGTAGTAGAGGTGGACTGGTAAAAGGTGATCTGGATATGGGAGATTCTAGTGGTATTCTCGATCTAAAGGATCCTGTAAATGATAAGGACGCAGTTAACAAGCAATGGGTAGAAAAGAATTTCCTAAAACCTTCAACTGGTCTTACTCAAGCAACGGCTGACTTAAGATATGTAAGAACACAGCAACATATACATGCAGAATGGATTTGGGGTTATCGCGGTGTTGCAGTTGCAGCAACAAGGTACTATGCTTACTGTCACAATCAGATTCCACCTTCATGGAGAACAGATACTATAAATAATCTGACAGACCTCAACCTTGAGTCGATTACTATTAAAACAGATTTTCCAACTTTCTCAACTTTTCTAAATATACCCCTAGCTCTGATCCTGTGGGCTACAGTATGGGAAAAACAATCTAACGGAAAATTTACTCAGGTTAAGAAGGAAATCACCCTGAGAACAATAGACTTAAGAAGACTGTCACACACCTGGTTTAACGGAACTTACACAACCACAGGTGGAAGTACAGCTTGCTATGTTTTCAAGGGTAATAGTATGTTCTATTTAGGTGGACAAGCTGAGCTGGTAGATAATACGCTGGCCTGGTGTATTATAGTTAAACCTGAACACTCAATGCCTACTGGGTCTAGCATGGATATGTCCTTTTGCTGGTCACTCCGATATTCAGGGTCAGGTAGTTAACATGTGGTTTATCATAAGGTAAGAATGTCAGAGTGGAGGTCATGCTTCTCATGTTTAGGTAAGATTTGTGGCTGCCGTAAAAAGTCAAATAGGGGTAGGGGAGTTGGTGATATAAATTTCTCTGTATCAAACAATATTAACGTTGGAGTAAATACTCAGGATAAAAAAGCTACTTCAAATGTTGTGTTAGAGCCGGAAGGTTACGACCCCTTTAAAATGGTTAAGCTTGAAATGTTGGATACTAAATAAACTATTAAATAAGACTTAAAATAAGACTTAAAATAATACTGAAAAATTAAATAATAAATACACGTTAAAATACCACAATAAATAAATGGTCTAGAAACTTGAGCCCGCGTTTTTGGGGAAAATATGGAAACCGCTGACCGGAAGTGGGATGAGATCGCGGGCTGAAAAAGTGGTCTAGAACCGCTACTTCCTATACTACTGATATAATGTAATTCTTACCTTTAATTTGTTCACACTCCAATCAAGTCTCTGTTCTTGGATTTCGCTTTCGTTCAATTTTTTCTTTGTTGCAATTTCGGAACGTCAATTCGTATAACTCTAAATTATTCCAAACTATCTTAACTAATCAACGTTTGCTTGATTGCCGTAGATTTTGAATTTGAATAATTCCCGCAACTTTTTTCAACCTTCACAGACTTGGCTTGAGCCATCGACACATCTCTCCTGGATTTATCACTTTCCATTTTCACCATTACAATTGGAATATTTCGTCATAGCGACTTGATAAAAAGTATATGGGCCATGTCAGTCACTTAATTATGACAAACAACATTATGACATCAGAGCGCTTTTATAGCTTGCGCTAGAACAAGGATTCTGGGTAACTAATGAGCACGCTGTCTGTGACATCATTTAATGAAACGCGAGAATAAAATGTAACCACTGATCTCATACGAAACTGGATACCTTAACCTATTGTTTACTGATGTGACTAAAAGTTGCTATCGCAAGTGTTGGCTCAAACAATCGTTGACGATCTCAAAAGATAAATGGAGAAAAGACCTGGGCGCACATTCGGTTACTTCGCGCTCTTTAAAGCGCCGATAATAGAGAGTTTGAGCAAGACAACGAAGTACGAAGACGAAGGCGTACTTGACAATTTTTGCTGTCTGCACATTATCTTGCGCATATTGAGTTGGACGTCACTGGTGGTTGCTCAACGTGTCTTCCCATGTGTCGCTGTTTATGAACACTGACCCTAATTCTTGCCCTGACCCAGAGAAAAACAGCGAGACATGAAACTATATCCCGTCTTTGTCCTTCTGCCTTCGTGCAGAACGAAGTTCACAACGAATTTTTGCCAAAATATTCGTTGTGAACGAAGGCAGAAGAACGAAGACGTGATATGGATTCATGTCTCGCTGTTTCGTCCTGATCAGGGTAAGGATTTGGGTCAGCATAAACAGCCAGACTACCTAGACATGAACGTCTAATCTGTCTTCTCCCCTGACGGCCTGACCCTAAACTCAGAATGCGCAAGATAATGTTTAAGACAGGCAAAAATTGTCAACCACGTCGTCGTCGTCCGACTTCGTAGAAGTACTGCTTAAGACTGGAATGAGCGCTTAAACGCTCGTAGTATTGATATATCTTTGAAAAGATCTATACATTTTCGTGTGTTGCTCGTGAAAGAATACAATGTAGTCCAGGGAGATCAGACTGTCAGATACCGCGATAGAATGGGCACGCAACACACGGGCGCCGTACTACTTTTGTCTATTTCTCCGTTTATCATACGTTGACTAATTCTGCGAAACACTCATGCAGACATCTCAAACTCTAAAGTAATTACCACAAACAATCGCTTTGGTCAAAGACTTTGCGCAGAAGCGTGGCATATAAATATGAGTAATCATGCTTTGAATAGGGAATATCTGACGTCGATGCCGCCTTTTATTTGTGAAAGCATTTAGAAGCATTTCTTGGACACTTGGCCGTGCACACGAACAAATTTTCCTTGATCAAGGCTCCCTGCCAAGGAAAAATTGACTGGAAAAAGGTTTCCCTAGGAAGAAAACATTTTCAATTTATGGAAAAATTAATTGTCAATTTTTTTGAAAAATTGTGAGGGGGGGTTGTGGACCCCTTACTCTCTCCCCGTCACCTTACTGTGTGGTACATTGACGAACTCGAGGTTCCAGCCAAGGGCTTGGTCGCAAGACTTATAGTCATTAGCTGTTGTGCAGATATAGTGTTCTTCTTGTGCAAAGCAGAAGTTCGCCCGACACGACGGCTCAGTCCATCTTCCTAAATCATCCCGTTGTATTTTCTTTCATTTCAGGATGAGTGTCATGCTATTAAGAACCACAAGACAGAACGGTCAAAGGCCATGATGCCTCTACTCAAGGTAAACACACAGCTACATTTGTTTATGTTATTTGTATAGAGAGAAATACTCATTGCAGAACCTGAAATAACGGTCAACAATTCACCCGGAAAATTGTCCGAAAAAGATGAAATTTGATGTAATCAATATTAAAATGTTGTCGGTTCAAGTGAGTCCAAAAGCTACTGTTAAAAGTAAAGTAAAGTAAAGTAAAGTCTATATTTTTATTGTTTTATATTAAAATTTGCCGCTTAAGTTAGACTTACTTTACTTTTAACAGTCGCTTTTGGCCTCACTTTAACCGACGACATTCATATAATGCTACTGAAGGACAACTTACTTTGTACGTTTAATCAATATTAAAATATTTGACAATTGTGTATTTTTTGCGGGTTGATCAGACGCTGATGATAACTAATTTTTTCAAGAAAACTGATTGCTACTTTTTTGTCCAATTTTGTAGTTGGTCGGAAAATCTGTAATTGGTCCGAAAATGTGCGATATCCAACCGTTATTTTAGCGTACATTGTACAGTAACTTTACGTTCGGTTTGTGAAGGAGACTAGTGAAGCTTGATTTGGACTAGTTAGAGACTTTGAATAAGAGAGTTATAGTGAAGGAGACTAGATTCTGGGGCACGGCAAAAGCACATCCACTTTCGTTTAACGATCGACGGCCTGATGTATTCTAAAATATTTGTAACCATTGTCAATAAAAACGCAAAACGATTTTACTCGTTGGGCATTATGGCTCTAACAGTTACTTGAACAGCTTTTACAAGATGGCCCATTATTTTTTATTTGATCTGTTTATTGATGTAGTTTATGACCAATACATTTACATAACTGAGGCAGCACTTTACTTGTGATGCATTACCTGTAATTATAAGTGTATTATACGTTGTGAAAATTTATTCTCCTTGATCTTTTTCAGGCATCAAGTCATGTGATTTTAGTCTCTGGCACACCTGCCCTCTCTCGACCATCAGAACTTCATACGCAGATATCGGCTGTTAATCCGAAATTATTTCCATCTTACCATCACTATGGAATTCGTTATTGTGCTGGAGTAAAGGTACAGCATTTGCTGTATATCCATCCCTGTTTAGGTTGTTAGAGTCACGGCAGATCCCTATCGTTAAGATTATCCATTGTCTTCAGTGTCCCTTTGGCTTGTATTCAGCCGTTGTAACTGTAACTGACGTCACCACACATAAAGTGACGTAATTACTTGCCTTGCGTCATTTTGGGTGGCAAATGTCGGTTAACCTAGATCATTAAATTAATGGCAAATGACGTCATCCCTTGGATATTTAAGAAGTGACTTTAGATCACCCCTGATGACGAGACTAGGCTGAAGTGTCGAAACGTTGGGTCTTGATCACAATTCGATTGGACTTTGTTTTCATTTATATAAACCAGAGTAGCGAAGAAAACATGATTGATATACCTGGTTGCCGTGAAGGAACAAACTTTAAAAATATGTAGGAATAATTCCACTACTTTTCATTGGTTTCTAATTAGAACAAGTTTGGTTGGGACTACTCAGGTTCATCCAACATGGAGGAGCTACAGTTGATATTGGAAGAATGTATTATGATAAGGTATATTCTAACTACAGTACGGATATCATGTTCAACTACTTCAATGTTGTTCACTTGAATGTTCTTTGTATATAAGGACGCCGGAAAGGGGAGAGCCAAGCGCCCCTCCTGCTTTACTTAAAGCGGGGGGGGGGGAGGGAGTGCCATTTTAATCATCTACCTTAACAAGTTTTTCCTGAACGGTCTTTGCGAGTCTATAGGCAGTGCCAATAATTGCAAAGCTTTCGTTGATAGGGATGCAACTACCTGAAAAATACCAGGAGAAATTCGACGTTTCGAACGAAGGCCCTTGGTCGGGAAGTTAGTACAACGGGGGTCGAGAAAATTACATGCGACTTTCGACTAAAAATATAAAGGCATCACGTGACAAAAAAATAAACCAATGAGATGGATCAAAACAATGTATATACAAAAAACGCAAATCACATTACAGAATATATTAATACAAATATACAGAAAACTACAACAACCTAAACCACATTCATATACTGTATATATATAGAATGAGAGAGACAAGTACGGAATAAGGTAAGAAATTATAGAAGTACCATCAATGTCTACTTTGGACAGGCAAAGAGAGATAGAGTTAAACTTAGGAAAAACTTTCATTAATGCAATAGGGCATTAATGCAAATGAGGCGCATTTAATGTCTTTTGCGGTTGTCGTTGCTTCCAGAAATGGGACAGAGGGCTCGAATTTTTATATATGAAACACTGAGTATTAAAATGTTTGGCAACAGGCTGTTGGGAATAATTGCCAATGGCTGCACGCCGATTCTCACCAAACCTTGTCCTCAAACATCTTCCAGTTTCTCCAATATAAAGCATGCCACATCTATATTGCATGAGATGCAATACACGAGATGGGAGGAGGTGCACGTGAAATGATGCTTAACATGGTATTGAGATTTTGGTTTCAAAATTTCACTCGAAACGTCAAATTTCTCTTTCTATATTTGAGGTATAGTTGCATATCTACCAACGACTGATACCAACGATCTGAACAAGCGACTGATGATGACCAATTTCTATCTAAGCAATACGTATCTTTTCTCAAGAATAACGAGAAACTGTTATAACCTCTTTTAACATTTCAGCAATACCGCAGTAGATACATGATGGCCGCCATTTGCTTCATTTATAGCGCATGGTCTATCCACTCCTTGTGTTAAGATCAGTGCGAGCTCCGCAGAGTTCTTCCCCCACGAATTTAGTGATGCTATTAATGCAAAGGCATGGATACATTGAAAGCAACAGCTGAATGTTTAACATTGAAGTTCCAATTCAGGTACAATCCCAAAACTAGATGCTTCGCAACCTTCCTGAATGTACATAAATTAAAATGTGGCCTTCTACGAAAATCTGCCCCCTGGCCTCTCTTTCTTGACTTCGGAAACATTATTCTAGGACATAAATGGTAGCTTTATGATCTAACCACGGTTTAGCATTGCTTTGATGCTGTGTCTTATATTTCAACGTTCATACAGACGACTGAAGAAACTTGTCCTGGACCAGCTGCCATCAAAGACACGAGAAGTCGTATGTATACAAAATCTTTATACAGCCATACCCATTCTGTAGTCGAACTGCCTTTGGACACCTCTCTGATACAGCCAACTCTCTAATACGGACACCTCGTCGATACAGACAACTATCTAATACGAACGCGTCTCTAATATAGACAACTCTCTAATACGGACACGTCTCTAATATAGACAACTCTCTAATACGGACACCTCGTCGATACAGACAACTATCTAATACGAACGCGTCTCTAATATAGACAACTCTCTAATACGGACACCTCTCTAATTCAGATAACACTCTAATACGGACACCTCTCTAATTCAGATAACTCTCTAATACGGACACCTCTCTAATCCAGATAACTCTCTAATACGGGCACCTCTCTAATACAGCCAACTCTCAAATACGGACATGTCTTTAATACAGACAACTCTCTAATACGGACTGTGATTCTTTCTTGAAACAAAGGCCCCGATTTCACGGCAACGGACCATTTTTGTATGGATACGCTAATTTGCGTTTACTCGGGACGTCCTGTCCGCGAGTGTCCGGACTCTTTTTTATGGCAATTGACATCGTTCAAAATAGAATGACGTACGAGTGTTACTGAAATAAAACACCACAACATGATACGGCTATAATTACGACTACTTTTCGAAAAAGACCTAAATATAATCTCTGAAATATAATTAAAAAAACCCTAAATGTTGCAAGTGAAAGTTAATCCGTGCTACAGTTAATAAACTTGTTTGGTACAAAATGGAGAAGGTTTGCATGAATTAGTTCGTACTTGAAGATAAGGGTATTTATCTATTTATCTAATCGATCTTTGAGAGCAAAGAATGAAGTTTGTGGTCTAATATTTCTTCCAAAGTTTTAGTTTCCGGTGCCATTGTACTTTGAATTATTTAACGTACTGTATTAGTTAAAAACGAAAAAGTGTTCAAAATCAAGATTCAGATAGATTACATAATGGTTTTCAAGGAGCGAGAATTTGACTTCCATCTTGTCACACTCTTTGAAGTATAACATTTTCAAGTGCAAGCATGTCAGCGACTCTTAGGCAATTAATTTTTTAGGGACAAGTGACCAGCTCAGACCATCCAGGATCTTACCACCACAAAACGAGGAACGAGATTGACTGAACATTTAACATTTCAGTGAAATCTTAAACCTCGGTCATAAGAGAAATATGAGAGTTGAGAATTGGCAAGCGAGAGTTTAATTGAAAGTTTTCTCAATTTTCGTGCTACGGTCGAACGAGAACAAGAGTTGCGTGTGAGTTGACTGGATGTTACCGCGGTCAAACTCGTGAACTCGCATCAAGATTTGAACCAGTTCAAGGTTGATGAGAGTTGATGAGAGCATGAATGCATGCATGAGAGTAGACAAGAGGTGGCGATCAAACGCGAGCGAGCGTTACAACTCTCGTCAACTTTTATGAACTTTTACCCTCTTTTGAATGAGGCTTCAGAAGTGACGTTGTCATGACTCCCGGTCCCGGTGTATATTTTAGAACGGATACGGGCAGACACTTCCCTTTGTCTCTTCGTTGTTTGTATTACAGAAGGTGGACTGTAATAATTCTCACAGGCGTATGCAATCTTTGTAGTCTTTCTATGGGTAAGATGCTCCTTCAAAGTTGTTATTACAGTATAGTCATGCAAGTGTTCTAAAATATTGTCATTGTCTTTCACAGGTTTATCTTGACCCTTCTCTCATCAAAGAAAAGTCGCTGGCTGGAGCTGAAAAAGAACTTGTCATGGCGAAGGTTCGTTGCGTTTATGCCTTATGAGATTGTTCAATGCGTTTATGCCTTATGTTCAAAGAGCATCACAAAATTAGTAATATTCCGATGTTTCGTTGCGAAATGTTGTAAAATGCGGATAATATAGCCCTGCGAAGTTTGCCGTTTTTCAGTCATTTTGTATTACGCACAGGAAATTGATACCGCTTTCTGAAAAAATAGGTACGCTAGGCGTACATGTATCTGCGCAAAGGAATTGCATCGTTACTATGAAAAAAGTTTCATGCACAATTATTGAGTAAACATTTATATATTTTCGAAGTGACTATACAGCCGGCATACAGCCGGCAGCCGGCTATTTAATAAACTGCTGGCTATACAGCCGGCTATTTAGTAAAATGCTGGCTATATAGTAGTCTCCTTCGCAACCACTCTTTTAGACTTGCCACAAGTCAACCTCGAACGAAACGCAAGCAGTTTAGAAACCTTTAATATCGACCGCAACAGTTTAGAAATTTTTAATATGCTCGAGTCTCAGCTCTCGCTGTTTATCTTAGTAGTTTTTAATTTGTTCGAAAGAGAGGGGAAAACGTGTTAGAAATCGCCATCTTTTGTAACCAAATTGTAAATTTTGTTCACTTCTATTTACTATACGAGTTTTTCGCGAATTATGGCAAACGGCGGTGTGTGGCAAACCGCGCAAAAAAATACGATGACAACAATTAAGTGAAGATGTGCTTTAGTGATGCAAATGGTCCTGTCGGTGTTTTTACTTCGCTAAATTCACTTCGTCCCTTATTGCCGTCTGTTAATCAGTTTAAGGAAACATATAAGCGGAATATAGAGCAGAAATAACTAAGCATTAGAATTAGCCCATTAAAAAAAGGTTTGGTTTATTGTAGGCGAAACGAAGACGTTCAGCTCTGTTAGAATATTTTAACGATACATCTTCAGTAAAAGCAACGGCTGTAAGGTCAGTCAAATAAATGAAATTCTGCACTGAAATCTAACGATTGTCGTGTTGGAATTGAGGCGAAACTATTTAAGCTGATACCGCTCGCAGCATAATAGCTGCGAGGTGAGAGGTCAACAAGCGGGCTACAATCATGAAAATATTATCCGTAGACTGTTTTAAAACGTATCTAATTGTCTTACTATTTTGTAAAGCCATTTTATTTCAGTTCATACAAACGTCCAAGATCACTAGAAATAGTAACTCCCCTCCCCCCATTAATACGATGTTGGTTCAGACATTGCCGGGTTTTGAGGGTAACTCCTCTGAAATCATAGTTTTCTGTGTTGGTGTTGTGTATTCAGGTGAATAATATGGTGTCTGTGATGGCCGGGCATATTTTTAAGCTCGCCCGGTGTGGATATACACTCAGAGTAACATCACAAGCATCCTCTGAAATCGTTTTGCACCTCCCCTTAGATTTTGGCACCTCCCCTTGGGAAGGGTTAAATGATAGATCAAAATAAAAAATTGACAATTTTTTATGTGTGTTGCTTAGCACGTTTTTCTGTAAAATCAAAAAACTGATAGCCATGCGTTCATCTCTGTGTGAACACAGGTGTGAAGAACAGTACCTTTTTAATGCAATGTCTGAAAGGCTTGAGTCGTACATTCATAATTCACTGATACAATGACATATGTGCAGTACGTGCATACTTCACGTAGTTGACGTTAAGTGGTTCTAAGCCCTAACAGAGTCGCGAGTTAGACCGCTGCAACCTTGCTGCAACCCAGAAATTCGACCAACATTCAGCCTTGGGTTTAAACCATGTCTATTATAGACTACAAGCCAGCACTGTTAAGGGGGAGGGGAAATTTTTTTTTTTCAATAGTCTACGAATTGATTTGCATGATTGTAGCTTGCTGCCCGTGCTAGCCCAGCATTGACATACCATAAAAAGTATCCGGGCAGTTGTGAAACACAATTGAGCAAAATACACCTGTTGACAAATCAGCAAGGCGAGAGAAATGTTTTTCTTCTTGCCATCTGAAAATAAAATTTTCGCTGCGAAAAAACAGTATTTTAGTAAAAATGTTCATAAATATATACATAAATGAGCCAACCCTATTGCTCTATTCATCACATGATGCGGTGATGATAATGGATACCTGGTGAAGTATGTACTTTTCTAGTCTTATTTCTGGTTCAAATTAATAAATAATCGTATATAATATGAATATTAATGCATAGCATAATGCACGTAAAAGAACCATCACAAAATGAAAATGAAGAAAAAACATTTGGAACTAACGTTTCGTTCTGAACTCAAGACATCTTCAAAGTAATGAATTTATAAAATTTCCTGAACAAACAAGGCAGTTCTGTCCCTATTTTTTTACTCTAATCCACTTTCCTTCCTCACACAATCTTTCGTGTTAGTTGTAATTCAAAATCATGTAGAGTAAATAGTCGTAATTTATTAATTGCTTTGTAAAGTTATATCTGAGATTTGTTAACTCTGAAGATGTCTTGAATCTTTTTAAAATTTCATTTTGTATGGCCTCGTTTACGTGCATTATGTTTGGCATTGATATTCATCCAGCCTGTTCCGTCCTTTGCAATTCCGTCTTACTTGGCCTAGGTGGATCAAAATTAATGCACGACACTTTAAGTCATGATTATGAGATGTCATTTTGAAACCTTTCAAATGCGGCGTTCACTTCCTTGCAGTTAGCTTCAACTTGAAATCTGGTCCATTCTCATTTTCGAATTTGAGGTATTAGATACAACCTCGTACACAGGGTCTTCCCTCTTGGGTTTTTCCTGTTCCGGTAGACGCTGGTCACGTAATCTGCTAAAACCTAGCAGATTTCTAATTAACTTTCTTGGATTCCTTTACGACAATCATACACCTTTACGACAATCATACAAAAAGTAAACTATAACTTAAACTATAAAAATCATCCAAATATTTATTGACCTCATCTTGGATTGTTAATTAAAAATCTGCTAGATTTTAGCAGGTCATGTGACCAGCGTCTACCAGGGTCTTTTCTCCCCTCGCCAAGAGGAAAGACTCTGGATACGAAGTTATATTAGATATAGACAGACACATTTATTTATTCAGAGGATAGTCCTATCAGCGACAAAAACATGTCACTGTTATCAACAGGAGCTCTGATTTTTAGATTTACAAGATTACTTCATTAGATTATATTACAAGTTACAACAATATTTTATAATGGTCACAAGTTACACTAATACTTTATAATGGTATTACCTAAATCCACATTAAAGTTTAGGTATCTTATATTTTGTTTAGAGAATACATAATGGATCTGTTGGAAGGAGGTCACAAGCTGATTGTTTTCGCTCACCACCGCGAGATGCTTGATGTTATCAGTGAGACACTTTTAAAAAAGGTTAATATGCAATTCACTTGTGGTTTAGTTCTCTTATTGTGCATTTATACCGTATTTCTTCTATTTATAGTCAACTCTCTATTTAGCCCCTTTCTAATAAGCCCCCACCCAGTCCAGAAGCGCTGAAAAGAAATACACTACCACCTAGCCTCTATGATTTAACCCCAAGGGGGCTAATTAAAGAAAATACGCCTAATGCACGTTTATGCATATCGTCACTGAATGGTTGTCGTACATATATCTGAACAGTGGTAACTGGGCATGCGAGTTCCATGAAAATGTGAATTACGTGGCAATGGGACTGAAGCCGTGAAAGTATGTTCTGAATCGGAATTTAATTAAGTTGATAAACTCAAAAGAGATCTCACCAACTGTTAAATTTACAAGAATGCAAACTAGCACTAAAATTCTACGACAAAAATTACAATACTGTATTTACTCATGCATCAAGTTAAAAACAGTTGTCTACAGTAGTTTCGTATTAAATTAATTTAACGAAATGTCACATGAAAGATTGTTCCAGTCGTTAATCGTTCTAGGGAAATAAGAGTATTTAAACATCGTTTTTACCATTCGAATCTGGTAGGCCTATTTTAAGGGATGACTACCACGTGTTCTGGTTGCTGTGTGTTGTATACCTTTCGGCGTTAAAATCGATTAGATTATCATATACATGCATCATTGTCAATCTAGAGCTTTCATGTTAGCTGATGATTAGATTATAAGTAATTTGATTAGTTAGCTGATTATTGTAGATGATATTTAGTAAATGGAATTTTCGAACGAAAATTGATTTACAACTCTAAACCTAACCAGGAACATCTGCGAAAAACGCTTCCTTGCGATTTTGGTGCAGCGCTCTGACTACCAAAGCCCAGCCGCCGAGTACCAGATCTAGAGTTGCATATGTATATATATATTGGGTCCTGATTTTTCTAGGTCTGCATGTTAACTATTGTGAACAGGCACTTTGTAAATGGGTATAATCGTTGCAATTATATTAAATTTGGGATAAACATGTTAAAACAAATTGTGGCAAGAGATTCCTATAATTTATAAAAAGGTCTTGCTAACGTCGTAATAAAAACCGTCATTCAAAATGCTAAACTGTCATGCCTTTAATAAACAGAATTTCCTGTCCACAGTGATGTCGTCTGAATATAAAATCGTAATTTAGCAATTATAGCCACTTTGAAATTCACTGAATTTGATTGAATTGGTCAAAATAGACTCCAGGAATTGAGATAATGCAAAGTTTCTGCGGATATAGTCCTCTTTGCGCTTGTAGCAACTAATTTGTATAAGTGCCTGGTGATCAAAGTTGGGTTATAGCGCTAATATTTGGTTCGAATTTAACTGGCTGTTTTGGTTGGTGTATGTCTGCATGTTATTTTGCTTCAACACATCCGAAAATAAAACTTCTATTCATCCAGATACGATTTTTTGAAAACTATCTCCAACATTATAAGCAAGCTGTTGAAGAGATTGTTTTAACCGGCTTTCGAACAACCGGCCCAAGCTGATGGGGGCATTTCCTGTGGCACCGCTCTATATTGAACCTCTAATTACAGTAGACATTTTTATAGATGGAATTGATATCTGTATACAACTACTAGAAATATAAAACCAAAACATTTTTTCTTTTCCTTTTTCTGCCTAGAAAATTGAATACATTCGAATCGATGGTCGGACTTTGTCTGCCAAACGACAACATCTTTGTGATCAGTTTCAAAGAGATACAGGAACAAGAGCCGCTGTTTTGTCTCTCACGGCTGCTAATACAGGTAATAGACGTTACTGTGCATTGCACTTTGCGCATGTTAAAGTTAGATCCCCATTTTTGACGCACGAATATCTTTTTTCTTTGATATTTATCGCAGGCATATCCTTAAATTTACTGTGCACGAAACATGTGGAAATAGCCGCGTGAAAATGAAGTCAATTAGGGAAGAGTGTAATAAACAGTATACATGAGTTTATTTTCATTTGGGGAAAACAAACAATCGACGGGAGACAATATAAATTTAATTGAACCCAATTTTAAAATGCTTTTCACGTGTTGATTGTTTCTGAAGCAATATGTTGCTTATAGGTTTTAGTGAAGTTGTTTAATTGTTGCGTATAGAAACAAATATTAGGTAAGGAAGCATGAGAAGAAATAACTGTTAGATTGAAAATACACACTATGTTCAGAGAGGGAATTTATGGCCAAAATGTCTTATTTGGTTTTATTCGAGAAGAGATTTGTACATTTGTTCAGGGCGGATCTACCCTCATCTGCTAGGAAGGGTGCATGACTGTATTTTATGCGGGCGGTGCATGAGGGAGCCTTACTGCCACTCTCCTCTGCAGTCTGCAACGCTACTACCCCAACATTACCATTATCTGACATGGCCTGAATCTGCATGTTCGCTGTTCTGTAACTTTGTTACGGTTTACTCTTTTTTTATAAAGTTTATATCGGCTTTTGTCATGCATGTATGCACGACCGGGCAGTTGCTGTAGCACAGTCCAGCAAATTTGCTTATGAAAGTACAGTGTATTTGAAAATATGGCTGTACAGCGACCTGGACATGTTTCCATAATTAATAACCCTTATTTTTAACTAAAGCATTTTGAGTATTTTCTCATGAGCTCACAAATTAATTAAATCGTTTCAAGAAATCGACACGCGCTTACAGTAGAAGTTCCGCAAATCGCTATTCGAAAAGCAGAGAATGTATGGTCAAGCAGATTTTTTAGGATAGCACCCCCTATAGAGAAATCCAGCACCAGACACCAGTAGGTAGCGTGCGCTGTGCCCAACGAAATTCATCACAGTTTAATCACTGTTTGACACGTTACACAACCGTTTGCAAATCAGATTTAAATTTTGAAATGACAAAACAGGAAGCGTAAAATTCGAATCGTGTTCAATTGATTTGCACAAATCAGCACAAACTACACTGTGTCGATCATGCAGGTTAAGATTTTCGTTTTTGTTTCTAGGACTAACATTAACAGCAGCAACATGCGTAGTATTTGCGGAGTTGTTTTGGAATCCAGGGGTATGTTATTATTTAGTATGTTGCGCTCTGGTTAACTACTTTAAGCTCTGGTTAATTTAAACGAGGATGCGAGTTGAGAAGCGAGACTTTGCATGGCCCGGTCAAACGAGAACAACAGTTGATGACAATTGAATGCATATTACCACGCACGCGCAGCGAAAAAAATTTCATCAATGAACTCTCATGCCCAAGGCGAGGGTACTAATTCCGCTCGGCTATTTACACCCATGCAGGTAATTAAGAACATAGTGAAGTGCAAACTTGTCCTCCATTATGTGATGGACGGTTTTCGACGTTATGCGCATGCGCGAGTACAAATTCGCTAAAAAATTGTTTTTCATTTTGCAAAGATGTATTTTGCTGTTTTACGATATATTTTTGCGATGTTTTTCGCTTTTAATTGGAAACTAGCCTGCAGTTTCATGAATTAGTGGGTATCAACGGTGAAACAAAGTGTCAAAGGCATAAACACGAATTTTGTCGAAGACGAACCTGATGTTTTTTTTTTATTACAGGCTGTCCACGGGTCTTAAAAATCCTGGAAAGTCCTTGAAAATCAGTAGAAGTCCTTGAAAGTCCTGGAATTAATTTCCTTAACCTCCAGCTGTGCCAACATTAGTGATTTTGATTAAAATTAATGAATAAAATGAATTATTTACAGCAAATCCATGTTCATTTTCAAAGAATTTTCACAGTTCTAGGTCCTTGACTTTACTGAAAAAGGGCCTTGAAAGTCCTGGAAAAGTCCTTGAATTTCACCTTCACCAAAGGGTGGACACCCTGTAATAAATTTAATCGTTGTCTTTTTCCATATTATTTTCACGTTATACACGATGGCAACTACTATTATTTTAAAGATGAAATACTTCATGTAGAATTTCTATACTTCATCTATATAAGAAAGGCGTTGCTGCATGCATGTATTTCTAGTAAAAATGTATATGTTATTCACTGAGGGAGAGGTTCGGATTGTAGGATATTAGTCTCGTTCTTTTTTTTCGTTTGTCTGTGGACCTAGCGATAGGCGAGGTTTGCAATGTTTATAAATTATGTCGAGAATTAAGTTGTGTTCAACGCTGTTTGAACATTTCAAAACGCATGATTTTCACTAATTTCTTTAAACAGTTTTTGATATGATAAAACGATAACAACATATTTTCAGATATTAATAAATTAAAAGTCGAAAACAGTCCAGTTTCACATTACTAAGTTAATGGCGGCAAGTATTAAGTATCACTCTGTTAGCGCTTTGAGTGTTATAAAAACGCTTTTATACAATATAAACAACTTTTAACACAAACTATAGTATTTTATATAAAAACCTTACCAAGGTCACATATTTATAGTCTTCTTTACTGGGAAATAACTTATTTAAGGTTTTCTTTCGGTCCATCTTTATAATAGCGGTCCATAATATGAGATCAGTGAGCAGTCCTAAAAGTCTTTACTGCTGGTTACCGACCGTTTAGGAACCAATGAAAATGCCGCATTTTGCAGATGGATCGCCGTTGCCATATAATAAATACTGTTTATTCTTATCGTCGAAATACAAGAACTTTGCGGGCTTGTGAATTATTTTGTCAAGACATTTTCTGTATAATTGTCTGTTTTACTATATACACTGTATAGCAGTTACCAAATTATAGTAATACGGCAATAAACTTTAGTTTTGTTTATATATGATAGTTTGCTGCACTGCACGTTACCACGTGCTTTTCCCCCATGATTCGGTAACCGCTACGAATAAGATGTAGAATTTAGATTTAGTTTAATTTATCTCTTTTTAAAGGCTCTTGTGCAAGCAGAAGATCGAGCGTACAGGATTGGACAAAAGAATTCAGTTGTAGTTCATTATCTGCTTGCGAGGAAAACTGCGGATGATTATCTGTGGTGAGTTTGCATCAGAATATGGAGTCTGATACAACCGAAAATAATTACTATAATAATTGTTTAACCTATTCATTCTTATACAATCATGACAGAGTATTTGTATATATCTAAAAAAATTATATGCAAGTAATAAAGTAGGTTTAACTATGTATAACTAAAATTCTGTGGAAAAACCATAAATGAGGATGCTGTATTCTAATTTTTGATGTAATGAACACATTTTCCCGCTTTAAGGCCTCTTATACAGAAGAAACTAGATGTACTGAGCGAGGCTGGCTTGAATAAGGAGGATTTTTCCGACTTGGATACCAAAACATTTCAGGTATGATCTAAATAATTCAAAACAAAACAAACTTGGTTATTAGGAATTAATCTAAGTTTTCGATATTCGGTTATTATAGGAATCAAGCAAAATTTTGGTCCAGTTAATTCTCTAAAAAGTGGACATTTTTTATCAGAATTTCCATCTAAAAAATCCTTCAACATTTAGCAAGATGTCCAAAATCTTAAATATTTACCCATTTAACTTGCATTGGTATCAACTTATTACAGTATAGGTTCGCAGGTTCGATTTGTACCAGTGGGCATATGGTTGCTTTTTTCTCAATTGCAACCTGTCTGGTCGAAAAATATCTCTATAAAAATGTATAAAATGTTCGCTCGAAATTTCCATCTATACAAATCTTTCAACATTTAGTTCTATCAAGCAAGATGCCCAAAACCTTGAAAAATTAAGAGAACATCTGCAGGAGATTATTCTATCATTATATATACCAAACTAGAAAATACATGCATGCAGAAACCCTCGCCTTGCTGACAAAACCATTGTATTTTCCGAACATGAAGTTCCAAAGTAGTTGTCATGGTAACACGATAATTTTTTAAGAATATTCTTACAAATGAAAAATCGCCTAAAAATATCACTTTTAATTACAAAATTATTAATTTCCCAACATAAATATATGTTAGGTATGTTTTTATACGTAATATAAGCCTCAATTTAAGGTAAAATTCAACCACAAACGCTTCGCAAAACGTTTTAAAGTCACTAGTGTTCATTATAAAACTAAACTGCCTTTTAAAATGGCTTTATCGATAAACTTTGAGTTAGCAATAAAATTATTTCAAATTCTGGCTTGCAAATAACTCAGTGCTTTCTTTTTTATTTAGAAATTCAATATCATAAAGAAGGGAATCAATATTAAAGATATACTAAAATTATATGCTGTTTGTTTAGTTGTTTCATATACGCAAAGGCCGTCGGGTTTTAAAGCCATTATAAAATCAATATTTAAAACAAACTTACCTTCGTTAACGTCGGCTCCCTTCTTTTAGACGATTCTTTCGCAGTTTCATTTTGAGAGAGCTTTTGAAATTTACAAAATCTTGCAAAAATACGAGTAAAAATGAAATATATTTGCAAGAAATTTATCAATCATCAAATCAAGAAATGTTTGCTATTTCGCTGTCGTGACTCGTGATACATTCGTGCCAGTCGTTATAATGCAAAATTTAAATTAGACCAATCAGTGTCCGCTATTCATGACAGTCCGCCATATTTTTGAGATCAGTGAGGATGACCACCCATCGTTGGTCACCCACGCCCGCGATATTTGATGAACTTTAGACTCCGCTAATGCTTTCGTTTCCCCGGATGTAAATAGCCGGGGGGAATTAGTACCCTCGCACGGCGCTTCGCGCCGTCGGCTCGGGGATAAATATGGCGGGTGTGACATCAAATGAGGCTGGGTTATATTTACGTAATTTCCCTGCGCTAATCTTAGATCATTGATTTAGCCAGATAGAAATGCCGATAATATCGGTGTTTTTATTTTTCACTCCCGAAAGTAGCCTAATTTATACCAAACTCATTGGATACTCTATCGATGTTTCCATATGGCTGCAGAAGTTAAGGAGTCATGAAGCGATGCTGCCTCCATAGTCTGAGAAGCTAATGTGCGTTTCAGAACTTAGTTTGATTAAGATTTCCGGAGTTATATATGGCAACTCCAAAAATTCTATGGAGCTCTAATAGATCTGGAGTTTCTAATTGCGCCAGCATGAGACTGGCTGCATTCTATATATGATTGGCTACCTTTACAAAAATTGAATCTACAGGTATGCATTACCGAACAGTAGCGACAGTTAATGTTGCTCACATATTTACGTATACGCTTGGAACAATGTAGAGGTCGTATCAAAGAAAGAAATAGGTTTGGTAATGAAAACTCGTACAATTTCACCTATTTTGCGCCGAAGCAAAAAAATTATCTTCGTGCATGCTCAATACCGAAAATGTCAAACGGATTCGATATTTTTGATGTATAGATGGTTTTAAAAATACATATCGAATGTTAACCGATATTTAAAAAAAGTATTGACACTTGTTTCGATACATCGATGTATCGCAACGGCGTATTTTGACTACGACTGTTGTTACGTCGTTATATGAAACAAAATGCTTTCTTTTGATATAAAAGGATCCGAAACAACGTGATTTGAAAGACTTGTTTGAGTCAATGATCGAAGAATTTAACGACGATGATTCATTTTTGGAAGAATGTCTTAAAGATGAGAACTGTAATACTAAAAGTGATGGAGGAACAAACTCAACAGGTTTGAACAGAAGTGATAAGAAAAAAGAAAAAGAGAAATTATGGAACGAGAGAAGTGACGGAGGAGAAACTTCACAAACAAGCAGCGACTATGCCGAGAGGAGCCAGGCCAGTTTAGCGAATGATATATCAGAAGATTGGTGTGATGCAGGAACAAACACAACAGATTATAACGCAAGTGAAAATAAAAAAGGAAAAGCGAAATTATGGAGTGAGAGAGGTGATGGAGGCGAGGCTTCACAAACAAGCAGTGGCAATGCAGAGAGTAGCCAGACCAGTTTAATGAATGATGTATCAGAAGATTGGTTTGATAATATAGATAATGATGATTGGGATGATATACATTTTGATGCTTTAGACAGTACTATGGAACCGAATGCGAAAAGAAAACGCTTGTAGTGTCTATATGTACAACAATGCTTGTGTTCTCTCACCGCTCATTTTGACTATACCTTTGAAAAATAGTGTTGTATTGTTGTGGTTTCACTAAACATTACATAACAGCAGATGGCGATCGACTTCAGAACTGTTTACATAGATTTTAAGAGACCAGGAATTGTATACCCACGAGCCCAAGAGACGTGAGAGCCCAAGAATTCTATTGACCGCTATATATTCGATCACTGCAATAATGGGAATAATTCTATTATTGTAATACAGCAAGTGCTTAAACTTTAACGTGATTAGCTGATTTGTGCTTGCATGGATTTAGATAAATACAGATCCAACCGGATTCGTACATAGTTGCTCAAAATAGAGTGAAAACGGTTTAGAAAGTACTTTTTCCATTTTAGTAAAACAATATTGTATGATACAGAGAAAAAAACTCAACAAGCAACAAGAAATGCTGCTGAAACGATTGTAGCAAAGCTCTTTAATTGTCAAAATAATTCATATTAAAGAGTTTTATTCATGAAAGATAATTGTTTTGTATTCGCAAAATACGTTTATTTTCTCGTGGTCGCTATATGTAACAAAACAGTTGTGTCTGTCGTCTCGGGATGTAGTTAGTTTTGTTTTCTCTGGAATTTCAATTGAACTAAACTATTTCCCTCGGAAACTCTCTGGGAAACACAACTAACTATTACCCTCGCAAGCAATTATTAAGTGCATGTATATTACTTTCTCACTTTGATAAATGCCCGTTGACCGCCATCTGCTGGGTGAGATGGTTAGTGCCTGGTGAAACACGTTACACGTATATTTTAAATTGCAGTATTCATGAGTGGGGTGGAGTATCGTCATTATATACTTATAAATGTACAATTTATATTCTCAACTGTAACTACACAATCATATTTTACTATTTAAACTTTCACATATATGATTATTCACAAAGATCAACGTTGGTGCCAGTTTGGGTGGCAAAGAGTACAATCTGCTGACGTATTAAAATAGAACAAACATTGGCGTTTCGAATGAATGCCCTTCGTCTGGAAGTTGCAACTGTGGGTCGGGAAAAACACATGTATACTTTTATACTGGTGAGAAAATTCTAAAATTTCACTGTCTAGATAACTAGTATAAAGAAGATGTATGTTTCCCTGTCACCCACCCCACTAACGTCAATACGAAGGACCTTCGAAGCGTACACATACACCAGCACATATGAAAAGACGGCATATTATGTTTCAACTCCACATACCGTATTTCCTCGATTTAACCCCCAGCCTCTTTAGTGTCCCCCCCCCCCCCAAACCTAATTAGCCTTCAATCTAGAAGCGCTGGAAGAATTAAAATAAGCCCACACTCTCTATTTAGCCCCCATTTTCTATTAATTAAATCATTTTCAATACAAAATTTATAGGGAACCGTTAAACGTTCTTTATATAATATAATTAACTGATATGGCTAAATAATGGTAAACTGTATGAAAATTATTCCAAATGTGAACATTTACTTAGCCTGCAGCCTTTATTTAGCCCTCTCCCCCTTCTAATAAGCCCAATGTCCAGAAACGCTGCGGGAAAATAAGGCCCCATCGGGCTAAACAGAGGAAATACGGCGAGGCTGTATTTATAGTATAAAGATTATTAGCTTCACTACAACGATTATCAGGTATATAACAGTATAAAAAAAAATATTTTTGGTTAAGTTCCAAGACACGCACTCACCAAATATATTAGCATTCTTCTTGAAATATTTCGAACGAAATTTATGAACTGTCCACCAACAAACAAGATAACAGACATATTTTACCCAAATAGCCGCTAATCATGAGTCGAAACTATTCACTATTTTAAATAACAAATGACAGACAACATTTTAAACATCTGCCAATTGCTATCTAATCTGGTCACCTAGGAATGCTCTTATATGGCTAACCTGTTTTGAAGGTTATGAAATTAAAATGAATCCAAGACGGCGGACAACTCACATTCGACGGAAGTTTCCCAGTGATATATCAACTAGGTTCCAGTTCACTTGGCGGTCAAATCCACGATGACGGCCAATCTCAAATTTCAGAATTTATAGCCCCGAGTTCACTATATTCCAGTCAAAATATTTCAAGAAGTAACAAAGATATAAAAAATCGGTATAAAAAGTTTAAAGTAATATAATTATTATATTATACTCTTCGTGTCGAATTTGTTCCTTGTGCAATGTCATTCTTTTTCGTAAGTTTTCTGTCTGGCCGACGTATAATATATATATATATATATATATATATATATATATATATATATATATATATATATATATATATATATATATATATATATATATATATATATAAAATTATATATATATATATATATATAAAATAAAAGCCACTCAAATTTTGCACAAACGTTTTCGCTTTAATGTTAGCTCCTCAGGTGCATATTTACAATGAGTGGAATTTAGTTAGTTTATCTATTATCTACGTTCTATGATATCATATTATAATAACTATGTTAGGAATGCATATATTTACATAGTGTGAAGTCACCCGTTAAAAACATTCTATTGATCTAAATGTAAGCATAAACTTAATGGTTTTTTAATTAGCGTTCAGATCCGGATTCAGTATATTGATAAGTTCTTTTTCTTTCATCTCCCTAAAAAGTCTGTCCGTGTTAATGCATTGATATATACATTATTTTGAAAATTCCGTTGTTACACATATTTAAGTGTTCGCTTACTTTTAGATGTCTATACTCTTCGTGTCGAATTTGTTGCTTGTGCAATGTCATTCTTTTTCGTAAGTTTTCTGTCTGGCCGACGTAGAAACGGTAGAAGCTGTCGCATTTTGAGCAAATGATCATGTAAATGACATATCTCGCTTTGCAGTTCATCGTCGAATTGACTTTCCAGGTTTTTCCGCTCTTTTCTAGTTTTGTTTAGTAAATCGGCGGATTTGCTTTTTATAATAGCCAAACTATCATCTCTATAAAGGCCGATGTTTTCCTTGCCAAACCTCTTAACTAAGTGATTTAAAATGAAAAGGCCTACCAGGTCACAAATTTCATCGCCGTCGAAACTACCCATAGTGACGTCAAATAAATTAACTGTTGCTTCCGTCTTTTTTGTCCATAATTTGCCTTTGCTGAAACTTAGAGATTTTCTTGCATGTTTTATTATTGAAATGTCGTTTTCGATGATAGTAGTCAAATCCGAAGCCTAGGCCAATGCTTCATTTAAAAGTTTTTCGGAAATGGATGGGTAAAAATCCACAATGTCAAACGAAATAAAACTGTGCCTGTCTTTATCGTTTATATTGCCAAACCATGAAATTACTTGTTGCGTATTTCTCCATTGATTTGAATTTAGTTTTTGTTTCAAATTGGAATTGATTTTATCCAAAATAACGTTTTCCGGATTCGCTTTTTGCGGGATTAATTAGTCGGCATTTTGGATTGTTTTCCAAATTTTCTTTGTGATCTTTTAAAGATATAAATGCTTCGTGTTTTTTCATTCGTTCAATTCTGTCGCCAATTCCTAACCTACTCGAAATTTCTTTCAATTCGGAGTCAATTTCATCTATGAAGTCCTCTGATACATGCATGTTTGTACGTTTTCGTGATGTTGTCATGTAAGAGTTCGTTGTATGTGTTCAGTGACGTTTCGTAGATGTTTCTAGTTTTGTCCGCGAAAATGAAAATGTTCGGGGATGAATTAATTTTCTTCAAATCATTAGCCAAGGATGTCTGAAATTGGTCTTTAGAACGCCGGAATTTTACGTTTTCAATTGGTTTTATCAAGTCGTTTTCGAAAGGTTTCAAAAGTGGAATTGAAGGAGGCGATTTGTTAGACGAAAGGCCAAAAAGGTTGCTTTGGTTTTGAGTCGTTGATCCTTTTAGGAAGAAATTAGCTTTCCATCTCATACGTTTTGTTACGCTTTCCACTTCTTCAATCAAATTCTTTAAGTTTAAGCATCCTGTGATGGTATAGGAATATTCTTTAGTGAATAATCGAATCGAAATTGTCGCAAGTTTGAAGTACAAATAAAATGAATAACGTAGACATGAGTGCACAACCGATTACCGGGTGTAAATATAGCTTAAGATTTTGGTTTACGAAACACAAACAATGCTCAATAATTATGGGAACCACTCAGTATTTTAAGAAAATACAAAATAACAGTAACTCCGAATAACATTTTGTATTCGGAGTTACTGTTATTTTGTATTTACTTAAAACAGTGCTCAACATGCACCATATAGATAGAGCGTAATGTAGTTTTTCGTAGTTTACCTCAAAAAAACAACAACAGTCTGTTTCATCCGTATAGGAATCATCAGGTGGTGAGTAATTTCGAAACTGTAGGTTGCTTTTATGCTATCGAAAAATGTTCGGAATGCGTGTAGGCGAAACAATGCATGCTTGGGTCATTAGGTTTTGTTAAGGACCTTTTTACTCGAAACCGGTTTTTATGACGACATTTGCCGAAAATTTCGCTTCTTTTATTGAGTAAATTATCTTTGTTTATGTCTTTCAAAATGCAAAATTTTTCTTCCAAACATAAATTGCAGCGTTTTGATCCCCCTGTGTACGAAATAGCGTGTTTTGAAATTGACCATTTGATGGTATAATCCTGATTGTTTTCTTTTAATTTCCAAATATGTTTCGAACGTTCCGTTTTGTTTGAGTCTTTTTTATGGCGAAAAGATGAAGTGTGGTTAGCGTAACGTTCCTTAAATGTAGTCGCTGTCATACCAATGTAGTGTTTAGTGTCGTTCGTATTGTTCGTTGTGACTGTGGCTTTGTAAATAATGTTGTTGGTCATACATTGTTTCGGTAGTGGGCAAGTGTTTTTGTTGTCGCAGTTACAGTTGTCAGTTTATATATAGGTCATATATATATACAGGGTGTATAAAAAAAAACTGAACAGATTTGAAATTGCTCTCAATTTCGCAAAACACCCATTTGTATCTGGTTTTTTATATATAGAGCTTCTTTGGGTACTTATAATGTAAAATAATGAAAAAAATTTCTCGAACTCAAATTCTGTGAACCAGGGGGGTGTGTCTTTCCCAACAACACTCGCGCACAAAATTTAAAAGCTCCCAA